TAACCTTCACGTGGACTGCAATATTATAAGTAATATTTCATGAAAACACTTGTCGCGATAATCCTTTGTTGACCGACAAAATTTCAATGGTACTGCAATCACCTCTCCGCTTGACGCCGGTGAACACGTCGGAAAGGGATGGCAGAACGTATTTTGAATTGTGGGTCTTTCAAGCGAGCGCCAGAGGCGCTAACTTGCAGGGGGTCTGAAGATATTTGTAAAATTATTATTTTCTGTATTTTTTGCTTGAAATTTGGGGAACCCCCTAGCCCTCCCGGCTCCACCGTCCCTGAGATAATTACTCCGGGAGCTCTATCTTATCGGTATGCATGGTATGACTGGAGCATTGCTTTATTCAAACCTCGTCCTATAACGGACTAAAAATTTGTGCCACAGGCAAACCAGCTCCTCGTGTCCATCATAATCATGAACTATATTGTCTTGCTTTGGTAATATGTTTAGTAAAACAAAAACAAAAAAAGTACTCAAAAATTCCGGGAACTGTTGAGAACCACCTTAATTTACTCCTCATTTCTGTCCTTTGGCCGCGCTTGAATCGCGTTCAGAGCTGCCTCAAGAACAGCGTTGTGTCTTGTGTGACTCCCGCGCGACAAACGCGCGACGATGATGGGATTCTCTCCCCAGGCTGCTTAGGTGCACTTGTTCCGCTTACGTTCTTTATGTCAATTTACCAAATTTTATTAATGGCTCGTACAGCAGGCTTGAATATCGTAGGTAAGTTGATTGACCATTCTTACGTCCAAGGCTTATGAGCTTAATATATTTTGCTTATCTGAGTGACGCGAGACGATGTGTTTGCTAGCTGAAACTCACGAATTCACCGTAATTAGTGAGCTCACACTTTGCATAGTCTCTCTAATAATTTCACAGCACTCGTAAACAAGAAAAAGGCAATGAGAAATTGCTCTAAAAAGTCTTTTGAAAGGGCATTAGAACGTCACGACTGGAGCTATATTAATCGGAATATACCTTATTTTGGTATCTGTAGCGAGCAAACAAATTTTCGTTACATGTCGGGTAAAATTTGCGTGTCTAGTGAAATTCCTTAGTCATGTAAGCATAAGCAGGTTGAATTGTCTTAATTAATTTTATTTCTTATGCGAAAATAATATGTTATGCCTTTTACACCTTTGTAGGCTTAGCTTATGAACAACAGTGTGGAAGCTATATACAGTAATTTATAAGTCTAACGAAATTGTATCATTTCAATAAATTGTTTCGTTTCTTCCATTTGTGCAAGTGAGCTTATATGCCAATTAAGTTTATGGCAAACTTGTCGATGACGTCACATTAATCGATTCGCTTCCTTTGTATCATCGAGTTATAGCGCGTTTTCACGTGACATCATCAAATTCTTAAATCCAAAACTAAAGAGCCACCAAAGTTTTTATCCTCATCAGGTATAAGAGGTACTAAATTTATATCTGTTTACAACCTTCCAGCTCAATAGCGCCCTTCGTTTGAAAACCAGCGCATTTTAAATTTCGATGTTATGGGGGTGCGTGACATAAAGCTACGATCGTGTTAGTCGAAAAATATGTATTTATCTCGTGATTCTCAGCCATTTAAGACGTTGTCGTGTTTGGAAAGGTGCTTATTTAAATGTTTATTTTTTCAGTGCAGATAATCATTGTCCCAGAAAACCAAAATATTCCAGATGTAAACACTATTTTCCGGCGGCCATATTGGTGTATCACAGAGGAACGCCAACATGGCGGCTCCATACTAGGCTCTGTAAATTTGCGCGGAACATCTCGACGAATATCTCAACTTTGGGACAACGCACACACCTTAAACTTGGAGAACTGTCTTCTTTATTTATCTTCTGTAACATCACAATTTCTTGACCTTATCCACTGAACGGGTTTTGATTTTATTTTTTATTGCGTGGCAATGAAAACGCTCTATTACAGTCAAATCTCTGTTAAGTTATCACCCTGGCCTCCGAAATAGCCAGGTGACCGCTTAATAGAGGTTCACCGTTTAAAAGAGGTATGATCAAAATTTAGCGCGATATGGGGCAAACATTGAACAAGAAAACAAAAGTAAGCACGCCATCTACATTTATTGTTCGTAAGGACTCTAACGCGAAATACAAGTGGTTGCATGTGTTAAGGAGTCCACGCACTCGCCAACAGATTTTATGATAATGCTATTTTGTAAGGCAAGTGTCGAGCGTCTTTCCCTTTCGTCCATTTTTTTATGACCAAAATTGTCAGGGCCGTAACCAAGAAAATATTATGACTGAGGCAATGTCATTTGTTTATTTGTTTATTTATTTGCTAGCAGTGTTTTACATTCCCCTGCAAACAACAACAACAACAACAACAACAAAACCGAAAAAACTGAGGTAAGTGCCTTGGTTTGTCTGTTACTAACTACGGCCCTGATTGTTGTTTTATTCTTAGTGCTGCTTGATCAATGGTCTAAATGAGAAAACTAAAATTCTAATGAATTTGCTCCCCGCGAGTGTAGGTGTGTCTGCACCCAGTAAAGAAATGGGTGCCTAAGTTAAACAGAAAAACTCAATGAATAGCTGAGAACCCAAGTAAAATTCAGTGGACCTGTAAGTAAAAAGCGTGAGAATATAACAATGGCTAGACTTACATACGTATGTTTTGTCTCTGCCAAGGGACTCATCAGAAGCCTTCAAGCTAACTCGTCAAACATCGCGTTTGAAGTCCGGCAGCATCAAAATGATGGTTGCAATCTGGCCTTATATCACAAAAGGATTCCCAATTGCGTAATACGCCATTCAACAACTAGACAAAAGTGTGAGAATATAACAATGGCTAGCCTCACATACGTATGTTTGGTCCCTGCCAAGGGACTCATCAGAAGCCTTTCAGCTAACTCGTTAAACATCGCGTTTGACCTGTAAGTAGCCACAGAAACACAAGCTATCACCAGCAGCATTGAACCATGAACCTAATATTACCTATTAGCTCTGAAACCAAAGATTGCGGTGTGGTATTAAATAGTAATTTACTTAATTGTATGTAATATGCACTGCTTGAAATATTAAATTTATTTAATTTACTCAGTGGCAAGCACAATTCTTAGGTTTCAGGTCTAGTGTTGGGTTCCTGGATAGCAAGAACGTCATTTACACAGAGCTCAAGTAAGTAGTGTTTAGATGATCTATGCCTTAGAGTTAACTTTTGTTAAGAATAAATTATTAAATAATAACATTTTTCTTAGTTACTATTTGATGGAGATTTTCTTCCTTTTCATTGCCGAGCGCAGAGCCCACCACATGACCTGCAAATAACTGCCTACAAATGCTGGTCTGCTCATGTATAATACTGTCTAAATGTGTTTTGCTGCAAATAAATTAAATTCTACTCATGTCTTATTGTAACTGTAATAGAATCACGGCCGATGGCCGGACGGTCAAGATGCTTAGGCTAACGCAGGGTTTATCGCAAGCACACACACGGTGAAGCACACTCGACTGCTTTACAATCAAATGGAAACAAAGCGGAATACTATGCTAAGCTTTTTGCTGGAAGGAACTAGACTTCCTATATGTTTTGAAATGGATGGCAGGAACTATATTTGATATTCCACGCGACACGTACTAGGAATATTCTCATAGATACTTTACCAACACCGACTTGTACTAAGATCATGTTCCTGGTTTTAATTATGTAATCAAAGCTATTCTAAAATTGGTTTGTCTTGCTTCGTCGTGCTATGCTTAACTTTTCAACACTGAAGGAGAATCTTTGTTTACAGTATTTGCCTCATTACCATAAGCGATACAGTTTCTGATGGAGCTACAAAGAGATTAATACTGAATATTGAAAGGGCACAGCACGATTAACTGTCCCAAGGAATTTGAGCGCGATGTATTGAATACTTTTTGCGCGACGAGGGTTTAAAAGCTCAAAATTTTACAAAGAATGGATGAGCTCATTAGCGCTTTTGCCACAGAGAAATTTTGATGTTTTTGAAAGCCTCTCCTTGAATATTACACTCAAAGAACCAAAACTTTCACCACTTACTAAGTTTCACAAGCTCTTTAAGTTTTTCTAGTAATTGAAAATCGTGTCTAGCATGATGCCTTCTCTGCGCAAAGTAGCTGGTGGTTTGGTTGTTCTCCAAACAACATCAACTCGCGATCGTACCTCATAGCTAAACCAAAAATAAAACGGAGGGTACTGTGTGGATGTGGGTACACTAGAGTGGTAGGCGATCATCACCAGCAGCAGGTGCTCATCACAGTCACGTACTTGACAATTATGCCTTACAAGAAAAAATCACCAATATTTAATTGTTTACAAATCTCATTTTGATGCAGTTTTTCAAGAATATTTTTCTTATGGAGTGTACCACAAACTCGCTTGAGATTAAGATTGTGATAAGTGGAAATGTTCTTCTTTTCCTTTCAAGGATGTTAAAAAATAGTTTGACCCCCAGTTTGGGGGTTTTACTTCTACTAATTACTGCATGAAAGAGCACGCTCTATTTCAAGTAGTAAGTGATAACCTCGACTAGCTTATTTTAAAACAACTACAAATAGGCCACTGCACCTCCAACCGTGTATAGGGATACATTGTTTTCGAAAAAGCTGTAGAAACACACTTTCTCTCAAGCTTCACTTTTTTTTAAAATCTTTAACTCGAAGGCACGGAACATGTTTTCTATTTCTAAAATAAAAAGGCCTGTATTGTGTTCTAACATATCAGCAATGCAGTGACAACCCGCCAATTTTACTGGAGTTTGCCCCCACTTCTAAGAGAGCTTGTAGTGAATTCTTGAAATTGGTGATTGGATTTTCACGAAAACACGTTCTCGCATGACACGCTCGCTCGCTCACGACCGCTCACTTGTTTTGCGTTCGTTGCACTCCTCCTACGGATTTTCGAGCAAAAGAGAGACAGCTCACAGTCTAACTAACTACCTCCTTAGTATCGTATATTTTCCTTCAAAGGATTCTTTTGTAACCTCTTTTAGATAACTGATCGAAGGAATGTGATAGATTTTAAAGCTACCTCTCCCAGTACACAGACCTCTACCTGCATTGTGTACCTATGACAGTAGGTACTATTTTACAAAGTCTTATAAGAAACATTCTAAGACTCGGTAGGCTATTCGGTTTGTCTTGAGCATAGAGCTACAAAGAAAATCTTTGATCCAATTTAGTCGGATGATCGTACATTACGAACACTGGTAGACTTTTTACTCTCTAGTACAACAGTTGTGGCAAGCAGAAATCAAGGCAGGTTATTTACAGTGAAGTAAAGATCAACCATCGCTCTCTTTAACAGTGGTAATTAATGTTGTTCCTATTTGCTTTAGATCTCAGGAAGTTTCTGGGATATGTCGTCCATTAGATGGGAGTAACAAGCTCCATTGGCTGAATGGTTCTTCTGGTACATTTTTTTACGCCTGATTACTCTAATCCTTACCCAAGTTATACCAAGTGAATCTGGGTAATCTCTGTGCCTGCCGGGAAAATAGTGAAACTGAAATGTGAAGACTTTGATCTTGACGCAGTTCCTTACGGCTGTATAGCAAGTAAGCGTGAGAAAAACTATGTGCAGATACTCGATGGACAGATTTCAGCAAGTAAAGAACTTGCTATTCATTGTGGATACGTGTCCACTCCTTCTGATGTTTACTCCACCGGAAGGTACATGTGGGTGGAGTTTTGGTCTGCAGTGGTGGACAGTTGGTGAAGGTTAAAGGGTTTCAAAGCCCGTTTTGAAGCTGTACACACCGACCTCCGTAAGTATTACTAACAAGATCAAGACTTATTTTTCAAGACAGTATGAGACTCAGTGATTGCATTACGTTATTGTTGATTCACAAATTCTTGAATTGGTGTTTCCTTTCTATTATAAAATTGAGTGTGAGAGGTACGTAATTAGCTCAACGGTTAGTTATTCCCGAAGAATTAATAAGCCAAATTTGTAAAATTTGTTCATTTCTCCATAAGTTTCTTTTCTAAGGAGGCGTGTTTCACGGGGAACATCTACAATAACAACCTGATTTTAAGTGGCTCATATGGAACTCTACAAAGTCCACAGGACCCCAACTATTAACCCCCAGGCTCGAGCTGTGATTGGCTCATCACTGTACCAGAAGGGATGATTGTGAAACTCAGATTTGACAGATTTCAACTGGAGCCAATGATATACTGTGGAGATTATGTGGAGATTCTGGATGGAAACTCCAGTAATAGTAAGAGTAAACGACAATTTTGTGGTGACAGGAAACCAGATGACATTCGCTCCAGTGGCCGCTACATGTGGGTGCGTTTCAGAGCTGATAAGTACGGACCTCGCAAATATAACGGTAGACTTAAGGCGACATTCACAGCAGAGAATAAACCAAATTTAGTTCAAACGCCTACACCAATTGCAACGGATAACAAATACTCAGGTAAGCGGACATCTCTTGTAAGTCGACGCTTAGTACAGTCTTGGCCACAGCCAAAACCACCTCTGTTCGATGGACACTTTCTGGTCCCAAGAGTGTCCGCTCACAGGAAGTTCTACTGTTCGTGCAAAACGTTAGTGGCCCCGCAGGGTTTTGGCCCAGAAGCTAAAACCCGAGGACGGATGGACGTCCCCGCCTATAGTAGTTAACGTGGTGCATTTAGCAGCGAAAGGTACCGGACAAAAATCACTTTTTTGTGAACGCTGCTCGCAGGGGATCTAAGACACTTAAATATGGCCTACATGATGTAAGCGCTTCGGATTAGCGGAACGAATTTAAAACAATTTTAAAGATCCTGAAGAGGGTTTTGGGTGAGGAAAACAACTCAGAAGGTATCGTGAGTATTTGAGAAAGTAATTTCCGAATCATCTGGAAATTCGAAGGGCGAATTGTAGCTAAACGATCGTACGTGTGGTCTCGCACGTGTTCGAGATATGAACACGTGTTCAAATACGACTAATAAATACTCTTCGGATCACCAGTATTACGTTTAGAATACCGCTTTTTTATTGAATTATGTGTATTGAGTCATTTAAGGACGGGTAGAGCTTTAGATAAAAGCCTCGTTTTGGTGCGTTTCGATTCGTTGGGACGCGTAACTTGACTCTAATTTGCATATATGGAGGTTACCATGGTGACTGTAACGCGATGCTTCAGTCTCGAAGAAAAGTCGTAGCTACTAAATTCCAGATTTTCTCGATATCTGTTTTGTTTTCGGGTTACGTTTTCTCCTATATCAAGGCAAATGGTTTCTTTCTGCATCAAATACGAATAGCAGAGTGGTTTGCCAATTTTTTTTTGTTTCTCTCAATTTTTTAAAGAGGGCCTGGATGGGGTTAACCGATTAGCGACAAAAGGCGAAAAATATTACTGACTACCGACAAAACGAGGAAAAAATTACCGACTAGCGACAAAAAAAATAACTGAGATTTACCCACAACCGACAAAGGTCAAAAATTTTAACCGGCAACCGACAAAGTAATGAAATTTTAACCGACAACCGCCTTGTGGACCCCCCATTTAGACCCTCTTTAAAACTTTTTTGCTAAGTTAATTCTACTGATTGAATTTTTTGTAAAAGTAATATAAGCTTAGCTCGATCAAGTTTTCATGAAGGCAACCTATTTTTTTTCTGGAAAGTACTTTTTGTGCCCTTTCAAATGAGATAGCTAGGGTAAACTGCCCTGCTGTAAATACTGGGCGAGATATATATAAAGTGAAGAAAACGATGCATGTGTTAAATTCGGTGTTTAAAACCGTTTGGAATAAGTTAAATAGCATATGTTATGTTGGGTTCGTTTACTTAGTCGATTGTTCGGATCTTATGCATGATAAATTGCCTATGTTATAGGAACATCGGGGATATAGTTTACAAAAAAATAAAGAAAGAACAGAAATAAAAGTTTTAGTTCATACCATGATGTTTAATGTATTGCTTTCAATCAGCAAAAAAAGGGGGGCAGATTCAGTGAGAACTATTATTAGTCATTATGTATAATTTTTAGCAATCATTTTCCAAGAAGTCTCTTCATTAAAAATGTTCTTTTAGCGTGACATTTTAATCTTTTATTCATAGTGTGCTCACGGATACAATTTTGGAAGATTTTCATTGGTGCAGGGGAGGTGAACAGAGTATTCGATGCACACATCTCTGTATTAACACATATTAGTATA